ACACAAACATTGCTTTTCTTTCTTTTACCGCGGCCATCGCTTCTGTCGGAACGCGCCGTCGCGGCATTCATAATTTATCGGCCCTCACCTTATTTCTCCTCTCTTCTTCTCCCTCCATATTCGTAATTTACGTCCCCCAAAGCCACCTTTAGCTGCTTGTGTGTGTGTGTGTGTGTGTGTGTGTGTAGTTGCAGTCAGCCTCTCTTTGATGCTGAGGACCTCTCAGCTTTGAGGCGAGGCCACAGGGGCCCCGCAAAGCAAGACAACCAAACACAGCGAGACTCGCTTTTGCGCCATAATTAGTCGGCAAGTTCCACCTAATTAAATGGGACCCCATTAAAGGGGGGTGGGGGGGATGAGTAAAAGGAAGTGAGAAGGCTGACTGCATAGAGCTGTGTTTGCGGGTTGTTTTCTTTGGGCGTGAGTTTCATTCCGGTCCCCGTCTGGCTCTTCTTTTTCGCTCCTGCCGTCTCCCGGTATCGCTTCTCATCCGTCTCCGTCCTTTCTCCTCGGTCATTTTTTGTCACGAAGGCCCGAGTGTTTTCCAACAGCTGGTTTTTCAGGATAAATATTTCATTCTCCTTCCCTCACGCCCGCGCAGCGTAATCCGTATGACACCCGGCGTTGTGCACCGCCGTCTTCACGCCGATTGCTCCGCTGCGTGAAATAGATCTGTCCGAACCAGGCGGGCCTTTGATGAGGGCAGCGAGGCAATCACAAGCCCGTTTCATAGCCAGACACACTGTACTTTCCGCCCCGACCCTCAAAAGCTTTCTCCTTTCATTGTCTTGTGTCGAGCGGAGGTTTCAATTTCGCCTTCGAATTGGAGCCACTGTCAGTGACGTCTGGAGGTCAAAGTGCGTTCGCCGTATTCATGCCCGGAATGTGACGGGAGGTGCGTTAGATTGAGTTAATGGTAAAGGGGGTCGGCGCTTGGCCCCTAAACACCGGGCTGTATTGTTGGGGAGGTAATTTGGAGCGTTAAACAGGCTAAATGGAGGACTTCGGGTTGATGAGTTAATGCAAGCATGTGTGAGAGCGCGTTACCGGGATTTATCTACAGCACAGTGCGTCTCTGTTATCAAAGTCCCCTTCATCATCATCATCACCTCCTCTTCCGTCCCCTCGCCGCTTCTCCTCTTGTCTTTGCGAATGTCCTCAATTCTCCTCCCGTCTCCCTTGCTCTCCTCCCCACTGCTCTCTTTGGCAGCGTGTTTGGCCGGCCGACGGCCCAGAGGCCGCCATGCTGTCTTCTCCACTCAATCCGCCGCTCCCCTCCTCCCAGGCCCTGACCCCGCCATGCTCAGCGCGCACACACACACACACACACACACACACACACACACACTCCTTGTCCCCCCTATCTCTGTTACTTTTCTTCCCATCCCTCCCTCTTTGCATCACCCTGTCGCCCACGTCTTCACCCCCTCCCTTCCCCCCTTTCTCGCTCTGACCCCTGTCCGCAGTCCGGCCAAGCGCGGTGTCCGTCAAAGACGCAGCGGGGACACGTCCCCTCTGCTTCGTCTCCTCATTCTGCCGGGTAGCTTCAGTTCTGCCCAGCAGCGGTTCATGGGGAAATATAGAGCGGAGGGGGAGGGGGGCGAGAAGTGTTCTCAAGGAGGGGAAGTGCCCGTAAACGCAGAAGGACCGGGCGTAGGAGTGTACAATGCTATGACACAAACAAACACACACGTGTGTCGTGTGTAATGGCCCGGAAATGCCCACGCGACAGACGTGATGATAGAGCCACGGGCAATGTCACTGTAACCCTCCGTTTCTTTGTTGTCGTTGCCGCCTTTTATCTCCTGTCGTCGTCGCCGACTATGCCACATCTTGGGGCGCTGCAAAGAAGCCGCGCGAATCCGTACTGTATGCGGCAGCGGGGGGGGGGGGTTCTTTGAAACACGCCGGCGTGTAAGCCGGTCAGCTGACTAAAGCCGGCGCAGGGGGGGGGGGGGGGGGGGGGAAAGCCGCAGCTCGACTCACTGGCCCACTTTCAGTTCAGCCCGCTTTTTCTCGCGCCTGACGAAGAAAAGAAAGTTTCGCCATCGACGCCCAGCGTGAGGCGCGCAGCGTCTCGAGAGCACCGCTCGGCGGGCCCGAGTCTCTGCGGGCAATCAGCACTTCAGCGGCGGGGGACTTTTGTCCGTGTGGAATTACATCTCGTGGAAAAGCCCCCCCCCTACTTACTCATCTGTCAATCACTTCCCTCGCCCACCTCTCCGTTGCTCTTCTGCCTCTTTTGAGATGATGTGTTAAAATGAAATGGGGGAGAAAAATAAGGGCTAATGGCTTGCGTCAAGCATCGGGACGATGGAGAACGGGGGGGGGGGGCCACGCTGCGTCACTTGTTTTCAAGGTCCCCAAACAACGGGGCCCGAGCCCTGGGAAGGTAACCGGGTATGGAGGGCCTCCTCGTTCCCCTCTCAAGGAGGCTGTTTTAACTCAGCCGAGGGACCCGCTCGTACAGTGTTTTGTTATAGGTGATAGGTGGAGCTTGCGGGATGTTTGTGGGCATCAAAAAGCCCGTTGCAGGGCTCCGCGTGCTCTCGGGCCCTTTCTTTGACGACGTGGTCTACGTCCTCGTCTCTGGATTGGGTCTTGAAAGGGCATGGCTGTGTCATGGAAGCCAGGGTGCGTGTCATCATAGAAAAACCCGGATCCATTACAATATAGATTTTTTCATCCATTTGACCCAATTAACCCAATTAATTTGCCTTTATTCTGCAGAATTTTATAGATTTCAAGTAAAGTAGAAACAATGGGCATTTCTATTCTATTCATTTATTTGTCCAAAGTAAAAGGACAGATGGATTTAAACAAATTATCTACATATTTATGACTTAACCTCAGGGGGGCAGGAGACTATCGTCAAGACGGAAAGAGTGGAAAGAAACTGCCCTTTTTTTTTTACCAATCCTTCCGATTCAATGAACCATGGCTAGGAAATGATCAGCCTCCTTCTAGTGCACACACCACACAGAGGGCCGGCTAACAGCCTCAGCAGCTCGCCGTGCACGTCGGCGGAAGCTCGATGCCGAAGGTTGGCGGCTTACCAACGAGCGCCGGAGGAAGCGAGAGGTCCACCTTGCTGTTTTGTGTTGCTTTTTCACCCTTTTTTGTTCTGAATGCGACTGGTGTGAGGCGGTAACTGGATGAGCATTCAGGAGCAGGCGTGGGCGGCCTTGTGTGTGAGCCGCCGTGCATTGTGGGTAGCCCGATGGCTCAATGGTAGGTGAAAATGAGGAAGCCCATCAGCACCTAGTGTCCACTAGTCTGTTTGATGGCTGTGTTGTGTGGCAAAGACACCTCTTCTCCCCGCGCAGTGATCCTCTTTTTTATTTGCACCACCATCGGCTGGCTACTTGTGATCGGTGCATCGTTCTAATTTTGGGTCCTTTTTTTCCCCTCTTTTATTTAGCTTGTTTTACATTCCATCACATCTCCAACACAACTGGCTCACACATTATAGCTATTCAATACTTTATGTCGAGACAGTTGCTCCCTGTGGCTTTGGCTACACACAGACTGGCACTCATTAGCTGATGTTTTACACAGGCAATTTGTGACATTCAAATAAGCGTTTCGTAGAAAAAGGATTTTTTTTGTAGCTTAAGAACAGCCCTGTTAGAGCAATGTTTTGCTGAGAAGACGTTTATAGCGAAAGTGATTTGTTTCTTGATTGAACAATGCAATCAGTTGGAGTACATTCTGATACTCCCACCGATCCCTTCTTTGCTGTCCTCGTCTTCGCCCCATCGTGTCCTCTGCCATCCTCCTTCTCTGCATTAGCGGTAGCTCCAATGATGCTTAAGGGCCTCTCATACAGTTTGAAAGTATTTCAAGTGCAAAACGTAAAGAGTGATTTCTGTTCTATTTTGTCTTTTACAGGAGAAAAAGAGCATTAAAAGTAAGCCATGATCCAAACTATCTTTTATTTCATGTGAGCAAAGGCATGCTTGGCTTGGTTTGCACTCACTGCTGCTTTTGCTTTATTTTTGGTTTTCCATACTTTGCATCAGGTCATGAATAAACTAGATCTAACATAGCATCTCTATAACATTGGCAATCTATTTAACTCTTTGAAATGTCATTCTGTCAGACCTTTAGAGCCGACTCCCTCCTTTTCTTACAGTTTGGGTCCTTTATTGAGCTGTATTCGGGATGATTATCTTCCACACGGCGACAGATTCTTGCACCGTCCAACAGTGGTAGAGAAAAGCAGGTTAACTCTCAAACCTGTTTTCGTGGTGTAACATTGTAAGCACATAATTTGCTTTCCCCAATAATGCAGCAGGTAATTGGTTAAGCACCCTATTAGTGGATTTAAGAGGATATAGCGGCGCTTTAGCCACACAAAGCTATTAAGCTACTTAGATCAGAATGTGATTGCCGTCTGTCAATCACCAGATAAGGACTTGTCGGTGCTCTCATCTCACAAACATACGCACACACACAAACAAAGCTGGCCCCCGGTTTTGTGTCTTAAATTGGAGATCATCGCAAGTGAAAAACACAATCTGACCCCGCCGCCCTCGCCCCTCCTCCTCCTCTCAGCACAAACACGTTGCACAAGCATGACATTATTTCGACGCCACAGTTTTTTAGTTTGAGGCTGTTGTCGTAGCCAGTGGAGTCTCCTTGTCATTGGTGTTTTCCGTTTCTGTCATGTCGTATGGGTTTCTGCATGAAAGCAAATGCAAAAGTCTCACCACGAGCGCTCAAAGTCAGGAGTTGCATTGGCTGGCGCTTGGTACCCATCGTGGACAGTTTTTATTCTTTTGCACCTTCTCCATTAACAGTTAGATGCTGTGATGACCTCATTAGGGAGAAAATACATGTCCACGCATCTAATGAAGGAAATCATGAGAGCCAAACCATGTGACACATACCACACCAAACACTAAGTGCTAGGAGATCTATTCATGTCAGTTCATTATTGCATTTCCCACTGTAATGGAACAAGCAGTATCTTTAACTGCGTTTTCTTCCTCCCTCAGACTCTCGGCCCTTGCCTGACGTAGCCATGACTGGCAAGTGCACCCGGGAATGCGACGAGTACGGCCACTCGGACTCCTGCTGGATGCCTGTGCGCACGTCGCCAGAGCGACGGCCATCAAAGTCAACCACCACCCCTCAACAACCAAAGCTTTCCACTTTCATGAGCGGCCACGGCAGCAGCGGCAGCAGCGGCAGTAGCGGCAGCAGCAGCAGCGGCAGCGCCGAGCCCGGCAGCCAAGAGACCCTCGCCATGGCCGCCATGGCCAATGGAGACCCCACCGCCGCTCACGTGATGGGCGACCGCAACCGCAACCTGCTCAACAAGAAGATGGCTTCCTCCTCCTCCTCCTACGAGGCCTTCGGCTCGCCCTCCTACGGCTCTCCGGGAACTGGGGAGGAGACGCTGCACCACCCCACGGAGGAGATCCCTCTGGCGCCCACCGGGGAGTACAAGCCTACATCCTGCGGTACTCTGACGCGACGGGAGGTGTACCTGTGAGCGCGAGACGCACGGGCTGCGCCACAACACATGGCATTGAAGATTCAACACTAGGCATAGTTGTTTAAGCTGTAGCGGCTTTTAGCCACCCTTGTTCTGCAAGGTAGGACTAAACATTCTCCAAAGACTTTTACGACAGCTCCTAAATGACAAATCCAAGTGGGTACATGAACACCATTTTTTAATATTTCCGGCCATGACCCGGGAGAGAGGAAGGAGGAGGAAGAGGAGGAGGAGGAACTTTTGATGGGCATTGAATGGACTTGGGAGGAGGCTACTGGCGAGTCGGGCTCTTCTGGACAACCATCTGCTGCTTGACAGTCAATCTGTACAATAATCCATCCATTTTACATGAACAGTACATGCATGCATCACACCACCCTACATTCCCAACGAAGGTCCCATCACCTGAAGATGACACTGTACAAAAGACGCTATTTCTTTTTTTCCGTTCGAGTTTTTTGTTTTTTTTCTAGAAACAAATCTGTACACGTGGACCCTTTTTTTAAGTTCCAGAACACTGCTCTCGCCGTGATGTTCAGTGGCTGCAACGACATATTGGACGCAACGGTCCGTCCTACGGAGTCGGCTACGGATTCCGTCACCTAGACCACTTGTGATATAAGTTGCTCAATGCCACTACCAAAACTTCCTTCAAATCTTATAAAGGACGGGAAGCTTTAAAAACTCTGCCCAGAAAACCGGACTCGTGTCAGTCTCCTCTTGAGATGGAGACATTCTTGGACAGACTCGGGAGCCAATGGAATTTGCTGCAACGCCCCGTTAAAGACTACAACACGACTGCTATGAAGAATTAATCAAGACTAATTCTGACCCTCGCCGGGCTGAAAAGCCCCTCTTTGTACATACACATCGGACCACAGCGCTAACTGCTCTCAGTCCCCTTTGTCTCGCTACCTTTTCCTCAGTCTCTCATTCTTTGTATGCGATTGGCGAGGTTGAGACCAAAGCCCTCCCCTTACTAAATGCAAAATTGTCGCGTCGGCTGGAACAGCATGCGCACACGTAGTCGTGGATACTCAGATCGCCTCGGTTGGATGCTGTTGTCTACGTCAAGTTGTAGTACTTTTTCTTTTCTTTGCAATGGTGTATGCAGAGACACACACACACACACACACACAAGCAGAAAATCAGATTCATTTAACTGAAGCCAAGGACACTGCTGGACTGATTAGTCCTGGTTAAGCACAGTGCGTCATGCCGAGATCAAAACTATGACGGTGCAATCGTATGTGTGTACGGGCCCGATATGCAGTGTACAGTGTGCGTTTGTAGGCTGTATTTAGTGTATACTGTAGATGCACACCGATAACAGGCTTAGGGCTGATCCTAAAAGAGCTGCGAGACTTTTTTTTGTCCTTTCTTGCTGTGTGATAGACTGAGCAATAAATATCATAATGTACACGACCAACAAGCATTAACTTCTGTTTCACGTCTACTCGAGCCCTCAAGGTTACATTGACCCACGCGCGGCTGTACAAGAGTTCCCTTTTCGCGCTAATAGATTGTGCTTTCCATGTTAAAAGGTAATGGCATCTTTGAGCAAGAATGTAAGAATCAGCTCAATGGGAAAACAATCGAAACGCGAGGACACCAAGAGGTTTATGGATTAGAGGCTGAGCGAAAAAAAACAACAACAACAACACAGTGTCAAAGTGAAACCAAAGCTTCGCAAACAGGATGAAGCGTTCCCTCATTACACACAGAAGAAAATCAGAAGTTTTCCTTTTGTTTTAAATTACATTCCCGATTTTCTCACTGAGATACGAATGTGATGTCCCAACCGAACCGTCCACGATATCTTCACAGCTGACACGCGGACACGTGACAACGTCGAAATGTTGGGCCTCCCTCTCTGAAGTGATGTTTGTTTTACGCAGCTGCAGAGGTGCAAAATCTCACGACTCTAACACAGCAAAGGAATATCAGATGCAATGGAACTGGGTTTTCTTTGTTTGTTGGCAAAAACCCCCCTTTGGTTTGACCGGCGCGGCTTTTTCCGCATTCCGGCAATCTATAGTCTGTAAGTACTACTCGTTCGAAAGGAAGTGCTCCTATACTTATCAACTGTATACATAAATATTTACTTTTTACTGCACGTTTAATGGGAACTTACTTCACTTATTGAGAAGGAAGAAGACAAAAAAAAACTGTATAACAAAATGTACAAAAAGAAATGTTTTCCCTGTAAACACGGAACTCCACCTGGTTGCTTGCTTTTGTTATACCTGAAGTACCTGAAGTGTAGTACAACTTAGTATATCAGTTCAGTCCAGTTTTATTTTTCATACACAATCAAATCTGTGTCTCTTGTATCACCACACAGACTCAAATCTTTCACCCTTTCAACTTTATATCATGAGATTTGCTTTTTTTTTTTTTATCTTCTTGTATTTTACTTTTTAATCCCATTCATGTGTCTGTTACAAGTCGAGACCGTGAAAATATTCATGACAATGTACTGAGTATTTTACTTTTTTCTTTTCTTTATCTGGTGCCACTTTGTATATTTAGAGTGCTTCTGAAGAAAAAAACAAAAACAAGAAAACCAACACAAAAAAAAAAACACTAGAGTGAATGCAAATATGCAATTGTGCCTTTTATACTGACCGGTATGATTAAACGTTGGTTTGGAATGGTGCATAAACAATTACGTTGAGATGCTTACAAAAATAGATGGGGGTGACATTTAAGAATGGACTGAATACATTTGCATATCTTAGACGAAATCCCGTGATGTCAAAGGCTACTCGGAGGACAGCCAGTCAAATGTCAGTAATACACTAAAGACTATTCGCTGGGTTCAATTAACTTGTTTAAAATATCCGTTTCCTAGCGTAGTTCACGACCGAAAGAGTTCAGGTACATTCAACACTTGCGTGTTGGTAGTATTAATAATGATATAATGGGTTCTTTTGTTTGTTTTTTTCCCGTCGTGTTCCACTCATGTACGACATCTGAGGTCAAGTAAACTTCTTTGTGCATGTAACAAGCTCTAGGACTGAATATAGAAGCATTGAAAGGTAGGAAAGGTGTAGGGGGGGGGGCAGGGGGGACGCATTTGGACCGCTCTGAGATAAAGGAGCCTCGAGACGAAAATGCTAATGTGACGGTTTACGGCGAGGAGTGGAAGTGAGGGGGGAGAAGAGGAAAAAAACTTTTTTTTTAAACGGAGAAAAAAAAAAGCTGCAGGGGAGCGCAGCTGACGGGACACACACACACCTCGGCCCCCGCAGGGTGCACATGGGTGGGTGATGAAAGCCCCGGGACCACTCCACATGCCGCTCTACATCAGGTGGAAAGGAAAGGCTCTACAGTGGGAAGCTCTGATAGAACGGAGGAAGACATGAAAGCTAAAAGCGCACACACGTGTGCTTCTTTTCTTCTCTGATATCCACTTCAGTGCTACAGGAAGCTGGATTACTTTTTTCCTGTCCATTTTTCTTTTTCACATTTGACAGAAAACAAGGAGGTTTCCCGCCACCGGCATGTTTGTATCTGGCCGGCTGAGGTGTGTGTTACGTCCGTGCTCTCCTGTATTCGTATAGCCTTCACAGTGTGTAATGAGATCTGTAATATTAACCATTACTATTTGTCCTGCGACTTGGATGTTGATATAGAAATTGAGGAACAAATTTATCATCGTTTAATATGAGTCACTATGCACGCAGCTTAGCTGAACATGGCAAAGTGTATTGAACGCAAGTCCACTTCTATTTATGAGATATTTTACATAATTTAATTTGCATTTGTACAGGTTTGTGTAAATATATTGCTTGTCAGTTTTGTCTCTGCAGAAATTAAAATACAACATGGTAAAACGAGCTTATCTGGTGTTTGTTTTCTCTTTCAAATTGATGATATTTATTCGGGAGCCCGGTGAGCATAACCACAATGCAATAACAGTATGTAAACAAGTGTTTATATGTAATCCAGCCAACATGCAGGATATTACCCAAATCTAACATCAGGTCTAATTATTATACTCTACTGTGTACATCTGCATTCTCAAGTATTGTACGTAAGTATATTCTTTTCAACATTAACATCCTTTGGAGTCATTTTTCTCAATATGTCCTCACTCCCAACTGCTATAAAGATAATTCATCAAAGTCCACCTCCGTTTTAAACAGCCACGTCAAGCCAAGACCTGCGGCCCGCGTGGCGGCCGCGTGTTGCTGTATACAAACTGCACCGCGTGCACTCACATCATTCTGGAGCGTGCGTTTCCTTTTCCTGTCTGCACGTCTGGGTGATGCATGAGGCGATTACGGGCCCCGGTGATTAGAGATCCATTCCCGCGTACGCTCTGATTAACGGAACGCCGCAGGATGTCCAGCACCTTCAGAGCGCTGCAATCTGCAAAAGTTCAGGAAGTTGGACAAGTTTTTTTTTTTGCTGAACAACTAGAGGTTATTGAAGGAAGGGTTGGGGGAAGAGGGGGGGGGGATTGGACACAGCTGGAGTGATAGACGAGGCAGGGACGTTTTTGTTTATGTACGATTGCAATTGAGAACTCAAATGTGTGACCGTTTCTGTTTCTGCGTGTTTGCCTTCAAAAGACGCCGGTTCCAAGGAATTCGAGGTTTGAATCACGTTGATATGCAAATAGTCTGGCTCATTTTCCTGTCGTCCATGAAGCATTTTGAATTGCCTGGCATGGAATAAGCAGCGGGAAGTATTCTTTTTTTTTTCTGTGAAGGAGGAGGGGGGATTAAGACAAAATAGAATGAATTTGAGTGTAATTAAGGGTTTGGCCATGCATACTAATGAGTTGCGTTTTAAAAAAAATGAATAAAACAGTGACTGAATGCCGTAAAAAGAATAAGAGATGCATAAGATGCATTTATATCGCTGGAAAGTCAAAGGCGTCATTCAATAATACAGTAGATGTGCATATAAGCATCTCTTTGAAGGTACATCCATCCATATTTGCCGGTCAAAGCTGCTGTTATTGTGAATTCTTTTTTATTTTTGCGGATTTTTATCACGGCAAAGTGCTCCTTCAGAGCTTCATGGGCAGGTGGTACTTCTCCACTGGCAGCGACAACCCCCCCCCCCCCTCTGCCAGCTCATCGCCCCCGGCAACCATCACCGGCACCCCCCCTTGTTATCCACCCACGCACAAGAGATGGTGCTGACCCCCCCTCTCACGGAGGAACACAAAGCCCCATCAGACGCAGGAGGTGAGGCCGGCGGACCATCATGGCGCCTGAATCAAAAGGTGCGTTCTTGTTGTGTTCAAACCAGGCTGTGAGGAGCAGACGGGGGGGGGGGGATAAAAGAGAAGTGGTGGTGGGGGAGGTGGGGGGGGGGTCAGCCTTGGTTCTGAGAGTGATATCAAAGTTACTTTCTCCCCCCTCTCTCCAAAGCTCAAATGTGTAAAGCTAATTAATGGAATCATTGATCACTTCTCCGACATCAAACGCCGTTTTCAATGCGAATTTCCATTCCCCGTTTGTGCTCACTGGTGCGAGATAACGACTCCATACCACATCGACTGAGGGGGGGGGGTATGACCGTAAACCTTAAAGGAAGCTATTTGATATTCCACAATTTATGACTTTTTTTATTGTCTTTAGATTTTATTTTCCCAGGGAAACGGGATCCGAGGAGCAGCAGTTACGGTTTTGTTGAATTGATTTCTGTTTCATATTCATTTCACGGATGCGCCGAGGGATCGAGGGCTCACTTTTTTATGCATCGGGGATGGAAAAGATAAACAAGTTCATAAGGAAGCTCCTGCAATAACTTTGATTTAATTGTGATCACATAAATTCCATGAGCGTTTATCACAACCCAGAGGAAGATGTCTTTACAGTTAATTTTATTGCTCTCACATTGGAGATGGACACACACACACACACACACACACACACACACACACACACACACACACAGACGATCCAGTCACTTCCACCTACTGGGATCACACCTGATCTGCCAAAGTCAGTGTTTTCTGATGGAAAGTTCATTGATTTGAGTGAATTTGGTGCAGGAGCTTTATATTGATGTGATTTGGAATTTGCTGGCTGGAGTTTTATTGCTTTTTCTTTTTCCTTTTTTTTAAACAATTCTGCCCTGCAAAGGCAGTTTGGGGAAGAACAAGTTTAAAAAAATGTTTTTAAAGTGTGCAGATTTTATGGGTGATTATCAACCATTTAACAACAACAAAAAATAGTTTGCAATAGAACCTTCACAATACTGCAAAGTAAGACTATTATTATACTATTAGGCCCCCCACTAAATTTCTCTGAATCAACATGGATTTAAAAATCAATGCCTATGTAATACAAGGATTTAACCCCCCTCTTTTCATTTTAGTCAGGTGACGCCCTTTTCCTATTTCACAGCACGTCAAATACGGATCGGCTTGTGCAGATTTAAATATATATATATATATATTATATATATGCACTGTGGAAGAGAGAGTGCAGCAGAAGCACATGTCAGCATGTGTTCATAGATCCATCATTCATTGTTTCTGCTCTCACCCCTTCACTTGTGTACATGACAAACAGATTCTACCTGCAAACAAGGACAAGGCTTCACCGAGAGAGAGAGTGTGGGGGGGGGGGGGTGAGTGATATCCATCCGTCGCGTGCGGGTCAGTAGTTTTTACCCACAAGACTCCCCGTGACCCCCTTTGCTGCCACATGATGGATTCCCCAGAAACGACCCGCAGCGACTCACCGGATCTCCGACCAGAGCCGAGGCCTGAGAGCGGCCTCGTTCAGGGGGCGAAGCCAAAACGCGCTCCCATTAATCACGCATCAGCGGCGAATCGAACGCACCCAAATTCATATGTGCTCCGTTTATGTGGCAGAAGCAATTTGAACAAAATCTGTACGAGCCTTAGTGGTTTGGAGCCGGAGCCGTGATTAATGAGAACTACTTACATAAGAGAAAGTGAGCGGGTGAGAAGAAAAAAGGGGGGGGTGGGGGGGTGGGGGGAGGCAGAGCTGCAGGAGGTAAAGAAATGACAAATAGATGGAGGTAGACTTCGGGAAAGGGATTGAGAAAAAGGTGACCGCTTGATTGACTATCTGAGTGCCCCCCCCCCACCTCCCATTACCCCCTTCCAGTCCCCCTGATAGCTCACATACACACTATTTTTCTAAAAAGTAAACAAAAGCAATCATGACAACATCATTTATTTCTTTGCAGCCAAACTAACTTTGAAATGCATTTACTAGAAGAATTCATCATTAAAAAAAAAAGAAAAATCACCACCCAAATAAAGCCAGAAAACAATGTAAAAAGATTGTGACTTTGCAAATGCTCGAGTGTAATTATGTGAATTTAAATCAGCTCAAAGTGGCAAAAAAAAAATAATCTTTTGAGGATTATAGTCTGTCTCAAAGTTGTTGTTTTTTTGGAAAAGCAAATCTCCGCAGGCGACCCGTGTTTGCGTAACCACGTATTGTCATTTACAGACGGCGCGGGGGATTTCTCGCTTACGGAGGACGCGGTGAGGAAGATGCTGTTTGACGTGTGAATCATGAGGCCGACGTCATCGAGCGGTGGCCTGGTTGGTGATGTTCCGCTGCTTACACTTTGGCAGCGGGAGTCATATCTCGTCTCGTTTGCTCTTTTCCACATCCGCGGCCCCACGCGCCATTGTGTACCGAATGCAAAAGGTTTCCATTAACAACAGCTGCATTTGACTACTGTGCATCAAGCCTATAGCCAAAACGCTGGTTTAAGTGCTGCCGACCCAGCTGTCGAGTCAAAACACACATCTGGTTGATTTAACTCCTCCTTTTTTCCCCCCTTCCATTTTCGCACGCTATGTCCATCGGATCATCGTTGATTCCTTAACACTAGCTGACATTTGTTGCATTAAGCTACAGGCAGACAAAAAAAAAAAAAATAAGAGTGAGAGAGAAACGTGGAGAAGAAAAGGAGAGGGGAGGGAGGCGCTCAGAGGTTGGCTTTGCTCTTCGCCTCATGCTGCGAACACAGCCATAAAAACGCAACGGATTTCTTCTTCTGAGAGAATGATCTCGGCGATCCTCAACGTTTCCCATGCGGCTGGATGTATAATGCACGACGCAGCTGTATGCGGTGGTGAGAAGAAACACCTCCGCGTGTGCCTTCAGAGGCCCTCCAGCTAAAGAATGAACTCGCTCTCAAGGAGCTCGTTGCCATTCCGTCCGTTGCTTTTCTCGAAAGACGCTCGCATGCCAGATCGTGAACTCGGGGGTTTGACTCACCAGTGATTGTATTGCCCTAACAGAGTAGGTGTGCGTGTGCCCGCGCGTGTGTGTGTGCGTGCGTGCCGAATCCCTGACTCCACCCCGTGGCTCAAGGCCAGAGTGCGCCACAGCTATATTCCGTTTTTTGACACTTTGATTGGCAGCCGGAGCCATTTCCATCCCACTGGGCGCAGCCGGCTCTGCCACTCGGCTGCACTTCTCATTACTGTTGCACCAAAGGAAATCAGCACGCACTGTCGGCGCGTACAGGAGCCGTGCTTTGCCCCAAAAGCAACACAATACGCAGCATTTTTTTTGGTCTGCTGTTGCTCTCGGGGGGAACCTGAGTGCAGCATATCAACGGGTCTCCGACTGTCCACCCGCCGCGGAACATGACCAGTACTGTAGCCGTGTAGTCCGTGATACTTATTTGTATAAACAGTTGTGGTAAAACTAAGCTTCAGGGTGAGTCTGGATTCCAAACAATAAACAAACCAAATAAAAGACAAACACGGGCGGCTTACCCACCTCTATAGCAGAAAATCAGGAGAAAAAAAACAACTAAATTAACCAAAAGGGCTCCTCAAGCCTGCAACTACCCAGACTGCCTTTAGGCGACCCCTGCGG